AACACATCGTGGCCATCAAGTCTGGCCCATCTGTCCCACCATGGGATCCAGTAGCTGACCAGTCAGGGCACGGCGTGCCTCCGATAGTGCAGAATGCTCGCGTTGCCGTGCAATGCGCTTGGTGTCTGCTACAAAAGGCTGAACCAGATAAGCAAATAGACCCACCAGCGATGATGGTAGATATGTAGTCATCGACTGACCAGAAGGCTCGAACGTTCAGATCGGGGTTCCAGAAATCATTGATGTCCCAAAATAAGCAGTCGGGCCTTTCCTTCAGTAACGTAAGTTCTCGTCGGCATTCCTGATCGTATTCAATGGCCCAAATTGGACGAGTCGAAGTAACGCCCAAATACCTCGCAATAGAATGGACTGCTTGTTCTGGCGCCCCAATGCCCGAGAACGACGTTGAAACAACAAAGCTCGGGATCTGCCCCGCAATGCGTTGCCTCAGCGCATCAAAGGGCGTCTGTGTTACCCAAGCCGCGAACTCGATGCTATGCTCGACCCAATTGAACAGATCCCCCACGTCAGTTATCCGCGGCAGCGGAGGGTTGGAAGGCACCGAGCGAAGCGTCGAACGCATAGCGCAACATCGATGCGTCGAAACAAGGGCGAGCAACGCCAACCAACACCGTGGTATAGATTGCATATGTAGGTTGAATGCGATGGTGCATTCGTGGCAGCAGCACCTGCTACGAAGTCGAGCCCAAATGGGCTACGGTGATTACGATCTAGCAGATGTGTGTTTCGATGCATGTGCATTGACGATGGTATGTATTTACTGACCCATATGCAAGGGTTGGTCGAGTGATGTTCGTGTCGTTGCGAGTGGTTGAATAGTGTTTGCATGTGAGTTGCAAGTGGCGTGCGATATATCATGCGAGACCATGTGCACGCATATGGTTGATTTGCTGTACACCTCATACACTTGCGTAATGACGTGCGCAGCGTGATCTTAGATAGCAAAATAAAGCACACACAGCTGACTAAGCCCACTGAACATCAATTGTTGATATGGGATTTCCTACAACGACGAGGTCGTCCCTGAACCTGGTGTAGGATGTTCCTTCAACGGCTGAGGGGTCCCCAGGGCCCGTGTAGAATTTTCCTTCAACGGCAGAGGTGGCCCTAGGGCCCGTGTAGGATTTTCCTTCAACGGCAGAGGAAGTCCTAGGGCCCGTGTAGGATTTTCCTTCAACGGCAGGGGTAGGCCCATGGCCCGTGTAGGATTTTCCTTCAACGGTAGAGGTGCCCCCCCAGGGCCCGTGTAGGATTTTCTTTCAACGGCAGAGGTGGCCCCCAGGGCCCGTGTAGGATTTTCCTTCAACGGCAGATATAGCTCCAGAGCCCGTGTAGGATTTTCCTTCAACGGCGGAGGTAGTCCCAGGACCCGTGTGGAATTTTCCTTCAACGCCAGAGGTGGCACCAGGGCCCGTGTAGGATTTTCTTGCAACGGCAGATGTGACCCATAGACCCGTGTATAGTTTTCTTTCAACGACAGGGGTCGTCCCATGGCACATGTAGAATATTCCTTCAACGGTAGAGGTGGCTCCAGGACCCGTGTAGAATTTTCCTGCAACGGCAGAGGTGGCCCCCCAGGGCCCGTGTAGGATTTTCTTTCAACGGCAGAGGTAGCCCTAGGACCGTGTAGGAGTTTCCTTCAACGGCAGAGGTAGTCCCAGGGCCCGTGTAGGATATTCCTGCAACGGCAGAGGTGCCGTCCAGGGCCCGTGTAGAATTTCCCTTCAACGGCAGAGGTACCCCCTGGGCCCGTGTAGAATTTTCCTTCAACGGCAGAGGTAGCCCCAGGGCCCGTGTAGGATTTTCCTTCAACGGCCGATGTGACCCATAGGCCCGTGTAGAATTTTCCTTCAACGGCAGAGGACATCCAAGAGCTCTGTGTACGAGTCACTCCAACATGTTGGGCCATCTAGAACATACGCAGAGAGTCACAACATGGATATTCACCGAATACCAATCTCAGAGGCAAGCGAAACTCGAAAGTGTTTGTTTGGCTTGTTTCACGCATCGATACTGCAAAAGCAACAGTGTTGGTTCACGACCAAACTGTCGCGTGCATGAGTCGTCCTATGAAACTGTCTGACGCTGCTGCCTCGACTGCCCCGGCAGGGTTCGCCGCGCTATGGAAATCCCTCATTCCAGCGACGACCCTGCATCCCTATACACGAAAGCGAAGCAACCACCATTGTCAGATCACGCGCTCCTAATATGGCGCGGCTCGGTTTGCGCTAATTAAAGAAGTGTTGTTCACTGCATGCCAGCGAGCACTGGGCGCATAAGCATAGGCTTGGTGGCCTGCGCTCAGCCGCCTCATCGCCCGAGCATAATAGCGAGAGATCACTCTCCCCGGGCACTCACGAAACAAGTAGCGCCCAACGCTCCACTGGTTGCCAGACCGAAGGAGGTGGAGAGATAAAGAGGAGGATATGCATCATCAATACACAGCCCCCCTGGCCCGACCCCTGAGAGGTGTTGCGACAAAGTACGTTGGACAGATAGGAGAAGGACGAGAGGCATAAGGAAGAGAGTGAGTAGAAGGAAGATGGGAAGAAGAAGGAAGAGATGGAGGACGAGTCAGCAGCAGCAGCAGCAACAAGAGAAGACGCCGTGCCTCTCTGTGTGCCAAGCACCACAAACCGTACACAGTAGGATTCTTCCGCGATCATCGCCAAATACCCGAGAGTTAGGGATTCCCCAAAGCATATGAGACATGTGCACCCTGTCAACCAGACGCGAGATACCTCCGCCTCTCTGCCAACTAGCGTGGATCGGAAAGTAATACGGAGGTAAGTCATCTCTCAGCCACATCGCAGGTGAAGGATAGAACATGCCACCAGGAATGACGATCATACTGTCGCGAACGTCGAAGTCGTCCTGGAGGCCACTGGATTTCGACGCAGGGGGGCCAATGCATGATGGGTTGCCTCGAACAAAGGAGAGGATGAGGATGAAAGAGGATGGGGGAGGATGGGGAGGATCGAACACAGGTGTCCTCATAAGGGATGGAGGTCAACCCGCCATCGTCGCGCACGATCTGCCGGTATGGCTGTCTCGGGCGGTCGAAGCGACCAGCCATGTTGAAAATTTGAAATTGCCAGCCTGGGGTGCGGGCAGATATGCTCGAGCTCTAAATAGCTGTAGTAGATTTCGATTGCCCTGAAGCGACGCCTAGGCTTAGTCAACGCATCTGGATTTTGAAAGGACGGAAACGTTTGTTGGCATCGCGGTGCGATGCTAAAACACTTCAGAACCAAACGTGTTTTTCGGACGTTCCTAACTTCCTTCTTGGCACCCAGAATAAGCCTTGGGCCACCGATGGGCCTTGGGCCTTGGGCCCATGCTCGGGCCTCCCAAGATCCCCTTAAGAATCACTTTCAGTTCAACGTCGAGTCGTCGCAACTCCTCCTCTTACTTCTTAGCTTTGCTTTGTGGCACCCAGAAGAAGCCTTGGGCCCCAAAGGGCCTGGGCCCATGCTCGGGCCTCCCAAGACCCCCTTAAGAATCAAGTTCAGTTCAACGTCGAGTCGTCGCAACTCCTCCTCTGACTCCTTCTCTTTGCCCTCCCTCCTTTCCTCCTCATCTCAGCATGCGTTTCTACTGAACAGCATGCAGTCAGACGCATCGTGCAGACAGCTAAGACAGGCAAGGTAGGCAAGGTACCAGAGCAGTGCCAGAGCAGACACTTGCGCGCGCGGCACGCGCGCGGCGGAGGCGCCTTGAAGCTCGCCTTCCAGACCGCGAGCCGCGCACAAGCGCAGCTGAAGGCTGCGACAGCGGCCCTCCTCCTCCTCCTCCTCCCTGCATCCTCCCACATGTCTTCGCAGAACCGCAATGGCAATCAATTTCAGCACCCTGATCTACTCCCAGTCGCTCCTCTGCGGCAAAGCGCAGCTGCCTGGGCGCCAGCCTGGCAGTGGCGACTGGGGGTTGGTGGGGATGCCGAAATAGCATTGCCTTTGTAGTTCTTGCAACCTTGCTGTCTCCCTTGCGCTGTCGCCCATCCCTCTGCTCTAATTATACACGTGCGCGCACATCGGGCATAGCACTCCGATGCTCCGGAATATTTCTGGCCAGCCAGCCCCCTCGGGCTTTGCAGGATGTGGCCTCTTGGCCGGGTTCTCTAAGGAATACTGGAGCATGAGATTCGAGCACTTGCTGTGACTGCTGAGCTTGCACAGAGGGCATACGTAAGTGGAGTCATGCTCCTTCTCGCACAGCACGCACGCTCCCCCAGCGATCCACGCATACCCCCCGCTCATCGATTGCTCCCACATACGCCATACAGCACGCGCTTGCGGTGCAATCTTCGCTCGAGAAGCCCCTGTCGCCTTCTCCATAGAGCAACCAGCTGCCGTCAATATCACTCTGGTCATGGGGGTCTGGTAGTTCCGAGGCGGGCGGTAAGCGAAAGTCGAAAACACGATCGAGTCCTCGTCCAACACCACAGGTTGAGCATATGTAAGCGAAGGCTTCGGTGGAGCATTCTTCCCAAGAGGAAAATGAACGAGGCCGACTGTTTGATGGTCGCCTCGTGTTAGCTGCAAACAAGCGGATCGTACTCCTCCCCAAACTTCCCCTGAGACAAGATAGGACCTGGGACCCTGGGACCTGGGCGACGCCCGTGATTCGCTACAAGAAATTCCTACACCGAATCGAATTGCACGACGATCTGATCGACCTCCTTTACCCACCTTAGTCCCTTCGTCCCCCCCTGTTCTGCCCGCGTCTCTCCTCGCCTCCTATCATTTGTTTAGAGGCCCCTTGGTTTTCGATATTTTCTGATTTGCCCCCCCGTTGCCTTCTGGGTATGAAATGAGGGCGACCTCTCGCTTGTGCCCAAGCTCGAACGTGGACCGGGCCGCTCGCCATGCCAGGACATTGAAGCTTTGATCCACCCCGTTCCTCCACAGGCGCAGCGCTTCCTCTGCCCCTCCAAACTCGACCCCGTCGCCCGCCGCAGGCACGGGCACTGGATCAGCATGGGCAGGATGGGCGCCTACAGCGGCGATGACAGCCTGGTGAGAGGCAGCTAGCGCTTCCTCAACCTCGCTATCGTCTGCCAGTGTCGCAAACAGCTCGCCACCTGGTCCACCGGCGTGTTTTTTTAGCCTTATCTTTATCTACGAGATTCATTTGCTCTGCTGCAGCTGCGTCAACCCCCTCAATGTCCAACGTTTCGTCTCTGGTGATTTCGTCGTCTTCGCGCTCGTCGTCTTCACCTCCACCACCTCCGTCGTCGTCGCTTGAGTCAGAGTCGTCACTGGAGTCGTCATCAGAGTCATCATCTTCAATCCGTTTGGGTTTCGGCTCACGTTTAGGTTTCTTGTTGTATTTGCAGTGATACCACTGTTCCTGTTCACCAAATACGATAGTCCCAAGGAGGCCGAAACTCAGGAACTCACGCTTCCACATCTCGTATTCCAGCATGCCTTGCCGTTGCCTGACTGATTTAATCAGGTCTCGTGAGCAAACGATCTCCACAGGCACCAGAGGCTCAGCGTTTGGCGTGCCGCTGTCGCATTTCACCAAATACAAGTTGTGACCGTGCTTGCCGAAACACCGCCACGTTCCTATCTCGCCAACAAACCCCATGCACATTGCAGACCGAAGCCCCTTCATGCCCTCTGTCTTGGACTGAGCACTCCATTCGCGAAAGAATCTCGCGTGCAACTGTCTGTCGATGTCGTCCTGCACGCTGCAACTGGAGCCCGACCCCGACCCCCTCCTCCTCCGGGAGGGAGGGTGGGGAAGGAGAATATCAACCCGCCCACCCCCCTGCAAATGAACCGTCGGCCCTCCGTGCCCTCTCGGCCCCTACCCCCCAGCCCTGCGCCACTCCGTGGCCCCTCGGATGGAATTCCAAATGCCACCCCCTCATTTTTGCAGCGCAGGAAGCGGGACAGGGGACAGGGGGATGGGTGGAAGGCCACGACGATCTGACTTGCGGGGGGGTCACTAGTCCTCCAGATCAGGATCAGCAGGTGCAACTTCTGGCGCGCCACCAGGGGCGCCTTCACCGACGTCCGGGTGCCCAGCAGGAGCGTCAACAACGGCGCGGTCGTCGCCAGCCATCGCTGCCTCCACCATGACCTCGAAGAGCGCAGCTGGACCTGCACCTGGGAGAATGGCTGGCATCGGCGCTGCAGCTGCAACGCCCTCGACGGCTGGATGGCCATCTGGGCGCGGAAGAGGAAGCGCGGCATCTGCTGCGGCGGCCTCTCTCATCAGCGCAAAAGTTTTGGAGGCATCCTTGATGTAGGAGACGTCGTACCGCAGCGCATCGGCCATGATCTCCAGCCCCCCGTTGTAGTTGTTCGATGCTCGCTCGACCAAATACATGAAGGAATCCTGAACCATTGACCATTTCACTCTCGACTTCTTCTTGCTCTGGCCAGCCGCAGCCATTGCCTTCGAACAAACCTGGTGCGCGAATGTCTTGTTCACTGCGCGCGCCGCGATGAGCGCCTGGCTACTGTGAGGCGCCCGGACGACCTCCTCCTTGACCACCTTGTTGAAAGACTCCATGCGTTCTGTATCCCCTTGCCACAGGGAACATATGTTGCGCAACCGCATCCACATGTCTGGGTCCAACTGGCCCATGACAGCGCACTCCTCCAACTCTCGCCGGGCGATAGCCTTCAACTTGACTACGTTCATCTCCGTCGTGGAATCGTCTAGGATCTCCCGGGCGATGGCGGCCCTGTTCTCGTTCACATCTGCAGGTTGGCCTTTGGCAAGCAGAAGGAGTTTGACTGGGTAGGTGGAGAGACGATCGAGAATCCTCATCTTGAAATTAACTGCGTCGATCATGCTCAACTCGCGGCACGCAGCGGCCACTTCATAGAGCAAGTCATCGTGAGTCTGATCCAGGAGGTCCTCCCAGTACATCATCTCGGTCATCAGGAGCGTGTTGTCGTACATAGTTTGGGCCTCGCCCCATGCAAGGGCCGCTAGTGCTCCGATGCCCTTCTCCTGGACAAGCCGATCGTGCCTCTGGAGGAACGCCCGCAGCTCTCGCCACGGACTGCACACGGCGTGGGAGATCGCAGCAACAGCCCACCAAGCCTGCGACTCCACAGCGCGCATCGTATCTACAGCCCATCTGCTCATGGTTGCTGAATACTGAGAGGATCCGCCCATGTTGGCCTCATCAACTGCCATCAGCCACTCAAGATGCGCCGACAAGTCCTTCTCGCCCTTCGGACGCTTGCGTTTGTTGGCAGCCGCCCTCAGGACATCAAAAAACACTGATCACCCCTCTCGGACCCTTTCGTATCCAAAAAAACTCCTCTGCTCTCATCTCCTCAGCTTCCTCCCCTCAGCCCTCAGCCAGTTCCCGCCTCTCCCCCCGCTCCTCCTCCCCCAGCCCACTGGGTCCCCGGGGCAGTTTCCCTGAAAAAGAGCAGCGCGCAGGGCCCTTTGGATGAGGAGTAGAACCATGAGAAAACACGTCAAAAGATGATCAGGCGAATTTTGAAAATTCGCCCAGCCATCTTTTCAGCGATTTCGGGGGAGGAGGAGAAGGAGAGAAGGAGGGACAGGAGGAGGAGGAGCACGGGGGAGGAAGAGGAGGGGGAGGAGGCGGGGAGGGAGAAGGAGGAGGAGGAGGAGGAGGGCTCAAGGATGCTATGCGATCTGCACCCGCAGTCCTGGTACGCTTGTCAAGCGTGAGGCGCAGCGACTCGATGAAGGTGTCCCTGGGCAAAGACAGGATGAGCTCCTCACAGGCGTCCTTAGTTCCCCATCGCGTTGGGATCATCCGCGGGGGCATAGTCTCCACCATATGACAGGACCTGCAGTCAATATCCTTCCATATGAAGTATAAGGTGGCCGCGTGCTCCCGCCAAGTGTTCATCACTTTCATTAGACTGGAGCTGTACGTCTGCGGAAATTCGGCGGGGTCGACGTCGGCCATGGCCGCCAGGGAAGCCTGCTTCGCAGTCAGCCTTGACAGCACAGAGTCTGCCACCTTCAAGGAGTCGACGGTGCCCAGCGACGACTGGTGCATCAAGCAATCTATATCCAAGAACATAATCATGGGGTTCAGCACGGAAACGTCTGATGCGATGTTGGCCCGCGCGGCCTTGATGTCACCGCCCGCGTCAGTGCATGATAAGTGCGCATGCGGGCACGTCGGCGACGAGAGTTCGTCCCAATGCGGCACTCCGACGTTCTTCAACTGCTTTTTGATCAGGAGCATGATGGCCTCTGGACTGTTAGAGACAATGGGAAGCACGTCGGCATGCCATGTCATAGTGGTGCGAACGTCGAGGCGACCGTGGTATCTGATAGATGTTTTCGCCGACAATCCATGGAGTTTCATCTTGCGTTGCCACAGCGCCGTGTTCGTGCCATCGCACCTGAACAACGTGGTCCTGAAACCAGCGAAAACCGAATTGAACAGGCCAGGCGCCGCATGTAATTGAAGTCTGTCCGTCGCGTCTTGATGGGCCAGCCGACATGCCGCCTGCAGCGACGCGCATGTCTTAATCTCCCAGGTGCAAACAGAAGAGTGGTGCGTGTCCACGCCCAACATCAAGCCAACCCTGGATGCAGATATGCTGGCCAGAGTTCGGCGCAAAGCAAGGTGGACGCCGCGAAACACTGGAATCTTGGAGTACGCGACTGCACGATTACTCCACGGAACGATGCATTGCTCTTTGAGCAGCGCAACCTGCTCCTCCAGCGAGGCGATCTTGCGCTGATCGTCCCTTCGCCCTCTCCTCTCGTCCCGCAGCGAGACAGCAGCCCGGGCCAAGCGACTCCTGGCGGCATCGAGCTGGCAGACAATACACATTATCCCAGTGCGACCCGACCTAGGAGTTGGAGCCTTTAGGAAAGCAGCATTAGTAGTAACGCTAAAGGTAAGCTAATGCTAAGCTAAAGCTTAGCTAACGGTTAGCTAATGCTAAGCTAAAGCTTAGCTGAAGCTTAGCTAAAGCTACGCTAAAGCTAAGCTAACGCTAAGCTCAAACTAAGCGAAAGCTAAGCTGAAGATAAGCTGAAGCTAAGCTGAAGCTCAGCTAAAGCTAAGCTGTAGCCAATATATAGCTAAGTTGAAGCGAAGCTACAGCGAAGCTAAACTAAGCTAAAGCTAAGCTAACGCTAAGCTAAAGCTAAGCTAACTTTCAGCTAAAGTAAAGCTAATGCTAAGCTGCAGCTAAGCCACAGCTAAACTAAATAGAAGCGAAAGCTGAGCTAAGCTAAGCTAATCTAAGCTCAGCTAAGCTACAG